AGTGCAGACTGTTTGTCAGGACAGAGACCTTTGCTCATAGTCACTGTCATCCTGAGCCTGAAATGATGGGAAAAGAGAAGGCATCAGTGCAGGACCATCCACAACCGAACAAAAGGCCAATGCAGGAATGGAAGAAATTGCTATGTCTCATGGCTTGAAATTCAGCTCACAAGAAATGCACTCCCAGATTTTAAAAAAATCAGCCAAGGAAATGCACTTACCACTTGCGACAAAACCTGGACCTTAGCAGGTCTATTTTCTGCTCTGATTTTTTTAGACGTGGATTTTATTTTGTTCAGTGTCCCCATCTCCCTAGGAGCAGGAAACCCCATACAAATTAACCTGAAACTGCACCTTGGGAAAACATCACAAAGCACATTGGCCCACTTTTTGGGACACTCAGCAGGGAAGAGGATATAGATCCTATTCCCAGTGCCAATGACCCCTCAGTCTATTATACAAAACAGAAGAGCTCCAACAGGAGAGACAGAACAAGTCCTGTGTCAGAATATTGCAGAGCCCTCTGATTAGGGTGCTCACAAGGGGTTCATCTATACTATAGAGGTTTTTTGGAAAAACAGCTGTTTTTCTGAAAAAACTTCACCTGTGTCCACACTGCAGTCATGTTCTTTCAAAAGAAAATCAAAAGAACGCAGGAGTTTTGCTGACATTGGTAAAACTCATTCTGTGAGAAAGAACGCCTTTTCCAAAAGAGCTCTTTCGGGAAAAGGCATGTGTGGACATGGCAGAGGGAGTTTTTTTGAAAGAAGAGATTAAAAAGGAACATTGCAACAGACTGGAGTTTTCTCTTTCTGTGATTAGAGACAAATGCACATTTCAAGACAGCAAAGTGGAGAGACACACTCTGCATCCATTGATAGAGGAAACATCTCAAGGAAAGAGGTGTTCTCATAAAGAACTGGAATCTGCTTCCTTGGAAGCCCTCCAATGAGCTCTGTAACTGTCTGAATTTTGGAAGAGGGGTTTGGAAACATACCATATAGAATGGAAAAGTTTGAAGTTAATGAATGTAGGTCTTAGTTGACATTTTATTATTTTGTTTTGTAGTGTAACATTTTTGCCTGTTTATCCTGTTTCAAGTAGAACCTCCAGATTTCCTTAAATAAACACACTTTTCTTTTACTACAGATGTCTACAGTATTTTGTCCTTCAGGAGTAGGGATTGTAATGGGTTAAAATCATAGACATTCTTTTAGGGTTCTCCCCTGGTGTGGTGATGATGCTACTCATGCCAGCCTTCCTGCTGTCTAGGGCTTTCCACCATCCTGTCAGATCCTCTGGTCTCCCCCAGACAAGGCACAGAGTTGAGGTAACAACCTTCCTCCACAGAGTAATACAGACACTGAACTAGTTCAGCTCCAAGAGGGCTCAGCTCTGTGGGCTCAGCACCCAGTAAACTAACTCAAAAATGGGACCAAAAGGTTGTACACAAGGAAAGCTAATATAAGATCTGCACAGTGGTTGCTTTCCTCCCCCAGGTAACAATTATTTACACTGGGGCTTGATAATAAACAAAATTGTTTTATTACATATAATAAGTTGGCTTTAAAGTGCCTGCAGTTGAAAACAATAAGATCAAAGTAAGTTACCAAATTTAAATAAAAATGCTTAGCTAGTTCTAATCCACTAGGAGACTTATCAAAGGCAAATTCTTACCCTAAACAGCTGTTCTTATTTTAGGTATAAGTTTCAAATCTGAATTGATCTTTTTGGGTCTGCAGCTTCTTTAAAGTTCTTTTGTATCCCCTTGGGGTAGACCAGACAGTTTCAAAAGCCAGCTGAAGGCAAAAGCTAATGGCTTCCCATTGCTTAAATAGACTTTTCCCCAAGGTGGGAACTTTTTGTTTGGCAGCTTCTATCCCATGGAAAAAGACCAAGTTCAAGGTGGGTTCCAGTACCAGGTGGTATGGTCACATGTCTTTCTAGGAACAACCATAGTTTGGACTTCCAAGACACACAAGACTATTCACGGGTCATTGATTTGAGTAATGAGTCATTAAATACATGAAATATCACTACTGGTCCTCATTAGCACATTTAGAACTATAAACAGATCCATGCTTCTTATTTCTAACTTCACATACAAGATACAGGCAGTCCCCGGGTTACATGGATCTGACTTACATCGGATCCCTACTTACAAACAGGGTGAGGCAACCCCGCATTAGCTGCTTCCCCCCAGCAGACCAGGGAGACGTGAAGCTATGCCCCCTCCCCCCACCACAGAGTGGCTTTTCTCAGCAGACACCTCAGCTTGAGAATAAAGGATTGAGGGAAGTGAGGTGTGGGAGAATAAAACTGAGCTCTGGAGAAATGTTTGGCTAGAGTTTCCCCTACAATATGTATCAGTTCCGACTTACATACAAATTCAACTTAAGAACAAACCTGCAGTCCCTATCTTGTACGTAACCCGGGGACTGCCTGTACATGCACAAAAATAGGATATTCTGATTCAGCTATTTGTAACTATAAAATTGACCTGTTTTGTCAATCGGCGTCCCTGCCTGAATGGCCGTCTATGGCCGTGACATCATCACAGGGCGGCCCGGTGTCCCCGTGACGTCATCATCGGGCGCTCGGGCCAGCGGTGCCCTAGGCAGCTGCCTAGCTCGCCTAGGCTCATTGTCTGCCCCTGTTTGTAATAAGTGTCTTTGAGTTATACATAGTCATATCCATAAGCCAATTCCATACAGCATCGGCTGGCACGACAGGAGTTTGTGGTAAAACTGAGGCACATTGCTCTTAGGGAACAGAGGATCTAGAATTTCTATGACTAGCCAGTCAGGGAGTGGCTATTTCAGGGAAACACTTGTCAGGGCCCTTTTTTTAGACCTGTGAGGTCAAGTCAGGGCTGGTGGGTCCCAAAGGAGAATGTTGGAGTGATAGAAAGGCTAGAGGTATGCGGGAAGATAACATTATGCTGGAGGTGGAAGGTGGTAATAAGATGATTCATAGTCCTGGGTACTCTGAGAACGATCCCCAGGTGCCTAACTCCAAGAAGTAGCATTTGGCCAATAATCCTGAGTGGAAGGAGGTGCCTCTTTCCAGACCATAATTCCAGACCCCTCCTTCCAGACCAAATGCTGGTGTGGGCTCAGAGAACAGTCACAAGAATGACTAAAGGATTGAAAAACCTGCTTTACAACAAGAGACTCAATTAGCTCAATGTATTTGTCATCACAAAGAGAGGATTATGGGATGACTTATTTACAGTCAATAAATACCTATGTGAGGAAATATTTAATAGAATCATAGAATCCTAGGGCTGGAACAGACCTCAGGAGTCATCAAGTCCAGTCCCCTGCCTGAAGTAGGACCAACCCCAACTAAATCATCCCAGCCAGGGCTTTGTCAAGTCAGGGCTTAAAAACCTCTAGGGATGGAGATTCCAACACCTCCCTAGGGAACCCATTCCAGTGCTTCACCACCCTCCTAGTGAAATAGTTTTTCCTAATATCCAACCTAGACCTTCCCCACTGTAACTTGAGACCATTGCTCCTTGTTCTGCCACCTGTCACTACTGAGAACAGCCTCTCTCCAGCCTCTTTGGAACCTCCCTTCAGGAAGTTGAAGGCTGCTATCACATCCCCCCTCACTCTTCGCTTCTGCAGACTAAAAAAACACAAATTCCTCAGGCTTTCTTCATAAGTCATGTGCTCCAGCCCCCTAATCATTCGGTTGCCCTCCTCTGGGCCCTCTCCCAGGTGTCCACATACTTTCTATAGTGTGGGGGGTGGGGGGCAGAACTGGACACAATACTCCAGATGTAACCTCACAGAGCCGAATGAAGGGGAATAATCACTTCTCTAGATCTGCTGGCAATGCTCCTCCTAACGCACCCTAATATGCCTTCTTGGAAATTCAGACTGGAAATGGGGAATACATTCTTAAGAGTGAGAGGGTATGTCTACACTACCCTCCTATTTCGAAATAGGAGGGTAATGTAGGCATACCGCAATTGCAAATGAAGCCCGGGAAATTCAAATCCCGGGCTTCATTTGCAATTGCGGTATGCCTACATTACCCTCCTATTTCGAAATAGGAGGGTAATGTAGGCATACCGCAATTGCAAATGAAGCCCGGGAAATTCAAATCCCGGGCTTCATTTGCAATTGCGGTATGCCTACATTACCCTCCTATTTCGAAATAGGAGGGTAATGTAGGCATACCGCAATTGCAAATGAAGCCCGGGAAATTCAAATCCCGGGCTTCATTTGCAATTGCGGTATGCCTACATTACCCTCCTATTTCGAAATAGGAGGGTAGTGTAGACATACCCAGAGTGATTAACCATTGCTCAACTTACCAAGAGCGGCCTGCAGGGTATTCCCTGTCATTGACCATTTTTAAATCAAAATTAGATGTTTCCTTGTCCTCCATGTTCTCCTTAAAGTTGCCAGCTCTCCTGAACTGGACACCGTTGCCACAAATGTTGTCCAATTGATCTCGTCTGCAGGAGTTGGCAACAGCACTTCTGTGCTTTTGGGGGAGAGTCTCCTGTCCTGTCTTCCCTTTCACCACGGGAATGGGATTTAACATTTCTTTCTTTTTTCTGAGGCAGGGCAAAGGGCAGTGTCAGGTGCTCTGCACTGAGATATTCAGTCACGGGCAGCAGCAGCCCCACAGCTTGCCAGGCTGTCAGAGGGGCCCCTGCTCCATGCTGGGAGAAGGGCCAGGCAGCCTGGGGAGGTGCTGCCCGCACAGCCTCCATCTAGCAACAGAGCTGGCTCTGTGGGAGAAAAATCAAATAACTCCAATTGTGTCTAAAGGGGGGACTGTGCAGGAAATCAAAACTATCTAAAAGGAAACTGCTGTAAGGGTTAAAAGTTTTCCAGACCTCTCTCCCTGTAACAGAGAGAAGTCAAATTAACTCTAATCAAGACCCTTACAATGCCTATCTCAAGTTCATGAAGACCCCTAGTCTGTCACAGTTTGTCATGTAAACGCTCTCATGTGCCTTTGTTCTGTAAAACTTACTTCTAGCACTCCTGGTGTGAACAGAAACGTCTCAGAGTACTTCTGCTGAGACTTTGATATGTTAAAGAAAACAATCAACAGCTACTGTCTGAACATACTGTATAAAGAATCCCTGAATCTGTCTCTCAATGCTGCTTTCACTCTTGTAGTTGGCAGCCTGCATGCAGGCATAATAAAGTTTTCCTTCTAGGTTTCTCTCCTGCCTCACTGCTTTGACCTCCAGCCTTGGACCCTTCTGGGGGCTCTGTACCCCAGGGAAGCGAGATTTACCCCACAGCTCCCCTAGTGTCTCATCTCCCCAGTGGGAGCCGGGCTGGAATCTCCCATGTCAGAGTCCCTGTCTCACAGAGGCAGCAGCAGTTGGGCTGAGCCCCCCTTTATACAGCCTCCCAACTGCCGCTGTCTCCAGTCCCCACAGAGCCTCCTCAGCCTGGCGTTGCTGGCTGCTCTGGGAACTAGCACTTGGTACAGCCCACAGCAGCACCCATTCTGTTTGCTCTGTGTTTTATTCAGACCCATTATTTCATCTGTCAGTTATCCCTCCACTTTTTAATATCTTTGGGTATGTCTACACTACAAAGTTAGTTCGAACTAACTTTAATAGGCGCTACACTAGCGCTACGCTAGTTCGAATTTAATTCGAACTAGCGGAGCGCTTAGTTCAAACTAGGAAAACATCATTTTACGAAGATTAAGCCTAGTTCGAACTAGCTCGTTCGAATTAAGGGGTGTGTAGCCCCTTAATTCAAACTAGTGGGAGGCTAGCCCTCCCCAGGTTTCCCTGGTGGCCACTCTGGCCAACACCAGGGAAACTCGTCTGC